AGACAGAGAGTACAAGAAATTATCTGCTTCATACCCACGAAGATGACTTCATTGAATCTGACATGAGAATTGTAGTCATTGAGTTTGAAAGCACTTTAGATATATATAAATATAATATAAATATATATATATTTTGTATGGTGCTTTATGTTTTATACCAGTCAAAAATGAAATAAAATGGGGGTTTAACCTCCTACTTTTTTGCACCGACTGTATTGATTTTGCCCAGACAGCACTGATACAGCCTACTCTTGCATCAAATTTCAACTGTCAAGGGATCATACCCTCCCACATGCTCCACTGACAAGGGATCATACCCTCCCACATGCTCCACTGACAAGGGATCATACCCTCCCACATGCTCCACTGACAAGGGGAAATCACAAGGGTAAAACCCTGAGGAACTTTCTCGGCCAACACCAGGAGCATACCCGAGACCTCCCGGCTAGCGAGTCAGTGTCATAGTCACTCAGCCACTGAGCTCGAATATAGCAGTCAGAATATTTCAAATACTTGTACATCAAATTTTAATTAAGATATACAATCAATTTAGTTTGTTTTAGTTTTGAAATAAAAAAAAAAATATCAGGCTTTTTGGTTTAAACAAATCTAATACAGGAATGAAACACAAATGAGTTTGCTAAGTGGGAGAGAGATACTGGTAAATGATGATAAATAAAAAAAATCAAATTACATGAAAGTGTCGGAATATTTCTACTGGGTGCGTTATTGTATGTGAATACAAATGACATCATGTTAAATGGAACTAGTTTGAAACTTTTGACATCTTCAGTTTCTTCATTAGATAATGAAATGATATGAAATGGAGTTTAAAGTCCTACTGTTCTTCACTGACTGGGCTAATGAAGACTGGCATATGTCAGCATGCAGTACATGCTATGAGACAAATTTGGTCCCGACAATACTCTTACATTAAATTCCAACTGTCAAGGAATCTTTTACGTGCATTCCAATGTGTCAACAGGACCTCGATTTTTCATTCCATCCTAACAACTATACGTTGTCCCTTGCCAGACCCTGTTAGCGAGGCAAAGTCTTACGCACTGAGCCACTTTGGAACTAATTTAAAACAAATGACATTCTTGAGTTTCTTCATTAGGTAGTAATGAAATGGGATATAAATTCTTAAGGTTATGCACCAAATGTTTTATTATCTTGTGCATTAAATCTATAAACATAAATGTCAAGATCTTAAAAGCTGGATGGTTATATATAACTGTTCACTGGTTTCTATTTTCATTCCTCAGCTTACATTCTATACACACAATAAATTATGTAGATTCAAACTGCCATTTTCACATGTTTGTCAGTTGTCATTTGTTAAGAATGTGAGGGTGATAAAAAGCAGACAATCGACTATGATCATCTTTTATTCTTTAGGAGAATATCACTTTAATTTTCTTTAAATGTTTGAAAAAGGACTAGCTGTGTGTTGAAGCCTGTTTAAATGCTTATAATACATTTAGAATAGTCAGCAATCAATTTTGAGAATCTATTATACAATAACTCCCACACTATTAGGTATTTATGAGGTTCATTTAAAAGTTGTATTGTCAATATAGTAATGTTTAATCTATTAATGAAAGGTGGTTTCGAGGATCGTTGGTTCTCACACCCTATTTTTATACAGAGTTTATATATAGATATACATTGTCATTTTTTATAGATATATTACACATTAGACATCCAATGAATTGCAGTGGTGTGCAGAGTTAAGGGCTGAGGGAGTCGACACTTGTCAGCCTTAACATTAAAGGGCCAATCCCGATAATTTTCTGGAGAATAAAACTGCTTAATTTTGTGTTAAAATCCCTTAGAATCCTCAACCTAAGGGCCGAGCAACTAACTCAATATTTGTGATACGTTTTCAAACAACTTAAACCCGCCAGTCTTCATCTGGAAATGGAGACCAGTGTCCCAAGCTGTATTAGGCGGTGTCTGGATAAAACCAGACTTTTATTTTATAAAAATAATGTGTAGGTGAAATTTACCTTCCGTTATCAAGTACAGCACATGGGTCATTCACTGTATAGACCTCTCAAGGAACGGGAATCGATTATCAGGTCACCCAACGAAAAAATTGACCCAAAATCGTAAAAGGGTTACGTGTCCGAATAAGCAGTTTTGATGTTCACGTCCAAACGACTCAATATTTTGAGCTGAAATTTTGAGACAAGGTAAATACACCATTCCTCAATATTTTGGTGCTGAAAATTTATACGTACTCCGACATTTATTTTTGAGACTCTGTTCAAATCGGGATAGTCCCTTTAAGGTTTTTTGAATTTGGTATATTTGCTATTAACTTTGTTGTACAAACCCAATCTTCATTAGCCCAGTTGTGGTACATGTAGGATGTTAAACCCCATTTCATTTCATTTCTTGTACAAGCTTCTTTACTTAGATTGAAGAAGCCACGGTGGCCAAGTGAGGAAGACGCTGGCTCGCTAGCCTGGAGGTCGAGAAAATACATCCTGATTTTCCAGTGTGTTTCCCCTTGTCAATGATGCCGGATGGAGGGCCTGACAAGGACAGCTGTCTGGTCGTCCAGATGGGCATGCACGTAAAAGATCCTTGACAGTTGGAATTCAATATAAGAGTAAAGCCGCTGTCCAGGCAAAATTTTCCTCATAGCACACTGTACATGTATAGTGTATGCCCGTCTTCATTACCACCAGACCCTATAATCAGGTAGTTGGCCCTGTGCCACCACTAAACATTTACACCGCACTGATGAATTGTTTTATTTGTGCAATCAAAAGTCAAAAAAACCTTTAACATAAGTATTTTTACTGAATAGTTTTCATGGGTGGAATAAATTGACATGGATTACGTGATTTGGTGACATGCAGTTTTGGGGTATTAACACTTGAGTATTACTAAACAATAAAATAGGCGATGATACTAATATATTGTGATTCTTATCGAGAATAAATCTGAATTGTAAATTTTACTTATATGCTAAATGTACATTATAAGTAACAGTACAATTACTTGTTATGTAAGTTACATAAGGCCATAAAACTTTTCGTATGTCTGCAAAACTACAGTATTACAACAGCTCCAGACAGTGTCGGCAACAGTTGAAGTAAACTGAACAAGGCATTATTGAATAAATAGGACTACTGACAAATCTAATAATTTAAAAGGTTTAAAATGCCTGACATTTTTATGAGAAATTAAAATCAGGTTGTTTTGACCTCTGCACTGTAAAACTAATAAATCATGTCTGTATTGTTGGATGTGACAATAATGATAAACAACCTCTTGATGACGATATAATTGTTGTTTTACTCGATCAACAAGATAGGTAACATTTAATTTATGTTCAACACAAGTTTTATGTGCCCATTTTATACCTGTTTGCAAATCGTTTAGGTATGGGTTACCAAACTTGAACACACCATTTATGGCTTTGGGGATAGTTTTGTGCATATTTGGTCATGGATGCCAACAGAGCATTTTTTTTCATAAATAAAATTCTTTTAAAAAGGGATAAGCTCTTCAAATTTTAGTGTTAAGAATAACAGTTCATAAAACTTTATAGTCTATTTTTTTAAACTGGTTTGGGTAATAAGATAGGCTGTCTCTACTATCTATGTGTACCAAATTTGCCATACTTTTATTGGAAATGTCCAACCTCGTGGGTTTTCTCCGGGTCCTCCGGTTACCTCCCACTGCTAAAGACCCCACGCGCAAGCGAATTATTGAAATAAAATTAAACCATATGTTAGTCCCGAAATGACCTAGTTTGTGTCGAGTGGATGTTAAACCCCATTTCTCTCTCTCTCTCTCTTTATTGGAAATAAATACTTTTGTGTGACTACATCTTTAAAGTAATATCTACACACTTTCCAGGCTCACATACACAAAAAAGATCAACATTTCAAGTAATAATAATGGTTATATATCATGTAATCTGTACATGTAGGATTGTGTAATTGACCTCAACTCCTTGTTGACTAAATATTTGAATATATTTTTCTCGTTATTCATGACAGCCATTTGTTTAATATTGTCATTGCTGTCATACTAAAGACAAATAACTATCAACCTACCATAATTGGCGAGTTATGTAGAAATAAAATGGAGTTTGGTGTCATTTTTTTCTTTACGAACAAGGCTAATGAAGACTGGCATATGTGCTATAAGGGAAATTTCGCTAGAACAGTGGCACTATAACTTACTCTTTATTTCAAATTGCAACAGTCAGGGGATCTATAACATGCTGCCAATGGAATACACAGGACCATGGTTTCTCATCCCATCCAAACTGACGAAGGGAAACAAGGCTAAAGAATCCTGAGTTAATTTCTCAGACAACAATGGGGACCTCCTGGTTAACAAGATGTATCGTACTGATCTGTTAATCTTTTATGACCTCCCATAAATGTATTGAAATACAAGATTGAAAATAAGATGATATAGGTCTTTCTTTGAATGGCATTTTGTAATTGGCGTATAATCAAATAAAACGACTTGTGAAATGTTGTTGAAACGTCCCAGTGAAATAAACCAGAGTAATTGTTATCCATGTTTTTTATTTGATGTTTGTCTGCCTACATGCTTTTTTGAAAAACACATCATGCTTTTTCTGAAATTTCTTGACAACAAAATTCAATCTTGTTATGTTAACAATGAAATGCACTTGCTTCTTGCCGACTTTGAATACAAATTAAAGCTATTTGCAGTTTTCCCTTATAAAACTTGATGCACCACATTTATGTGATTGTAATGCTCTACATTTATTTGATGAAATTACCTTTGTTGTATTTAAGATAACAAATCTGGTAAAACGCACCACAAGGTCATTGATTTTATCGATTTAGAGACACTGCAGTTTATTTTGACGATTTCAAAGGTTTGAATTTTCATTGAAACCAAATAAACAACCAGTTTACTATTCCCACAAACAAATATTTTCCGATTGTTTCAAGTAAACCCTGCAAATTAATTCTATCACATGATTTATATTACAGGCGAAGAAACGAGATCAGCTGTTAAATGCTCAAAAAGAATTAGAAAGTCAGCTGAAGAAAGAAGAAGATGAATTGTTCGAGAAAATGACAAGAGAAAGAAATGAGAATAGTAAAGAAATATCGGAAGAAATCAACAGAGAATGGGAACAACGATTAAAAGAACTTACTGAGAAATTTGAAAGAGAGACAGATAAAAAGAAGAAGAAATTAAAAGATAGTGACAGAAAGGTATATATCACCTTTTGCTTTACTTTAAATAGTCTTGATGTACCTATATTCCACCACTCTGATATTTTGCTGTAATATTATATTTGAAAATATAGTGTTTTTGTCCACATTTTTACATGGTAAGATCATATCGGTCTCGTATGGTATCGTTTCTCCCCAATGCCTACCCCTATATACGTGTAGCTCCCATATTCCCCAATTCAGTGTTAATTATGGGTAGGCTTTTATTGACATAGAATTACAATCATGTTCATAAATTTTACAAATCTACAAATCGTAACAATGGTGACATGATATTAATAGAAAGTAAAGTGAAGTGTATTGATTAATCAATTTTAATAATAGGAGCAAATATTCTTTTGGTACATGTATTGTCTTAAACTCTGTATAATCCTTCAATTATGAAATTTAAAGATGCAACATATGTATTTCTTAAATTCTGAAATAAATTTAGCTTTTAAAAAAACATTTTCACCCACCCACATTCTTTAGCAGCAACATTTATTTATCATATTTAATAATAATAATATCAAATTTTTCATGAATTTATTAGTTCTCAACCCACGTATAAATCTTCGCATATAGAATTTTATTGCCATAAAACATTGTCTAAATAGAAACTACTTTATACACATGTTAAGCAGTTTTTGTGCTAAGTAAACGTACATAATGTAATAATATAATATAATATAAAAAGGTGACATAAAATAATCTTTACATATAGTTTATATACCTGCTGGCAATTGACCTACCTTTAGATAGAGATGATACTTTCTTTATAAAGATAAACATTGCTCAATAAACTTGAAGAAAAAAGAGAAACAGTTTATAAATCATTTAGGCTAACTAGATTTCTGATAAGTAATGATGACTCAAATGTCTGTTTTCTAACTTTTAGGGATATTATAAATTGAAAAACTAAAATGAGGTGGTCCATCTATTTGTATATCCCAACAAAAAAAATGGTTAATGATTTAAGTTTCAGAAAAATTATAATATTCTCCTGTTCAAGTGCTAAGTTTAAGGGGGGGGGGCGGGGGATGGCCGAATGGTTAGCACGTGCGAGTTGTATCATAAGGTCTGTCATTTAGTCAACTGGCATGGTTTTCATTCCCGGGTGAATGTACGTGACAAGGAGTAGGGTTGCCTGCCCAACCTCATGGGTTTTCTCTGGGTCCTCGGGGTTTCCTCCCACTGCTAAAGACCCCTACACGCAAGCGAATTATTGATATAAAATTGAACCATGTGTTGGTCCCGAAATGACCTAGTTTGTGTCGAATGGACATTAAACCCGATCTCTCTCTCTCTCTCTCTCTCTCTCTCTCTACTAAGTTTAATTAATGTATACTTTAATGACATGGGGAGTCGGTGGTCTAACACATGCACTTTAGATCATAAGATCTGTCACTGAGTCAAGTTGCATTGTTTCAATCCAAAGCTTGTACCCGAGTCCGCCGGTTTCCTCCCAAATTATTGAAATGAAATTGTACTGTATATGTTAGGCCCGAAACAACTATGTTTGTAGCGAGTGGACATTTAACCCCATTTCTCTCTCAATAATATCAATACTAGAGGATCATTGAATATGATGTTCAAAAGCTGAAAATGTTTTTGTCAATTGACCAAATTTCTTTATATTGTTTTTAAATTAGTGTTGTGTTTGGAAAAAAAGGTGTCTAGAACTGTTTTGAAAGTTGATTCCAGTGACTCATTGATATTTATCATATGTTTAGAATATAGAAATAGGTGGACCATCTTTTTTTTTCATAAAGTCTTATCCGTTTGAGTGCACACAGGGTGTATATTAAAAACTGGGTGTTGCGACACTAAAATGTATGAAATTTATGAAAGGGCGAAGCTACATGTATTTTAGTGGGTACTACCTTGTTATGGTATATGATTGAAGGGCATGACAACACCTAGATCTATAGTCTGTGTGAATAATGCAGCATACAATTAAAATTCCCTTAAACATACACTATGCAAGAGCTAAATCTGCCTATTGCAGGTCTTTCTTTAGGCGTGAAATGTTATATAAACTCTTAATTAGACATTTATTAACAAAACAAGACCATAATCGACTCTCGATGGCATCGGATACTCGAGATTTTAACTAGATTAAAACGGTTCGCCATTTAAAAATTTAATTTAAAAATGGGGAAGCGAGGCTAAGTCCTGATTAACCAGTGCCCTGGTTACCACTGTGAATGCATCTTGTCAAAACTACAATGATAACTTGGCTGAGAATGAAGTAATTTGAATGAAATTTTCTATATTTTCTTTTTTCATCATCTATTTTTTGAATTATTATAGCAAGAATGACCAACTCTTTATTAAACTCTTAAATAATGTATCTTTAATAAACTTTCACAATCTTATGTGGTCTTATGTTAAATTATCGTCATCAGTTATGAATAAAAACACTAAAAATAGAAATTTGTTCTGTTTGGTGGCTTTTTGATTCATATTTGTTCCATAATTAGATTTTCCTGATTAAAACCATGTTCAGGTTTCTCAAAGATACAAGAAAAGTGATCGCATAATGGCCCTAATAATGGAAATTTTACTGAATAAACTATGTGTAGTTACACTGGTCCTCAGTAATTTGAAAATTTTTCTCAAGAGTCAACAATTCGAAAAACATGGTTTGTGCATACATTGGCAGTAAATGTAAGATGATTTCAAACAAATACCACTGCCTGTGTAAAAATCCCCCCCTCCCCCTTATGTTAGCTCAAAATGAAATCTAAAACTATTTATCCATTCATTATTCATTGGAAGGGGGAATTCGATATAAGAGTAGGCCGTAGTGCCGCTGCCCGGGCAAAATTTCCCTCATAGCACACTGTATGGCGTATGCCTGCTTCATTAGCCCAGGTTGGGAGCAGAACAGTAGGACGTTAAACTCCATTTCATTTCATTATTCATTGGAAGGAATTTGATTTAGACTAAATTGGTTCATTTGTTCATTATATTTACAGTTGATGACTATTCAATTTGAAAATGAGAAAAAATCTCTAGAGAATACCATGACAATGAAACGAGATAAGAAAAAGAAAACAATGACATTAAGGTTACGTGAAAAAGGTCAAAGGGCAACATCTGAAATGGTGAAGAAACAGAGTACACAGATGTTAAAATTACTGGCAACCAAACAGGAAGAATTAAAACAAGAAATTGTAAAGGAATTAGAAAAAGAAACAGAATTAGCTGTAAGTTTTATCAGTCTTTATTTGAATATTACAACTTCCCTCCTAAACAAAAAAAAATACCATTTCAGATACTAGTACCGCAACAACCCAAAAACATGTACAAGCGGACTATATGGACCAGAAGCCATCTTGGAATTGTGACATCATATCCAAACACGAAGTCTGTCAATCAATGTGCAATTGTTCCAGAAACAAGCGTGTCAAGTTTCATAGCCTAGGCTTTTTTTCAAGAATGTCTCCCCCAAGATCAAGAATAACATGAAGATGAGTAGCGCTTTGGACCCAGTTCATTGAACAAAACTTAAGTGCATTCAACTGTGAATGTTAAATTTTGATGGTTAATAATCTTTAAAGAATTCAATCGGATTACTGAAACTAAGGTTTCATATTGATCTTAGGATAAGGCGTTGTGATAATCTATCTTATGAGTATGTGGGGTTACTAGACTATACTGGGTTTATTGGCTAGAAATATCTTTCGGATGGTTGAAGCCCAGTTCACACTCGTCAGATAGCATGTCATAGATATGAAATACTGTGCAAAAATATGTAATATGCAAAAGAGATCCTTTGATAATAAGGAATTTTGAGAAAGAGAATTTGAACATCAACATTTTCATCAGCTGATCAAAATTCTTTTGTCTTGCATTGGACATGTAACCATAGTGACTAAAATATAACCATCTAGCTGTTCGTCTCAAAATGATGATCCCCTTGCTATATTATATAATTCAGCAAAAAGATCCAGTTTTTTATGCTACACTGGGAAAGAAAAATGGATTAGATATCGTGGGTGGATTAAAAGATGGCGACCCTATAGAAGCTTTACAGGATGCTATAGAAGTCCTACAGAAACCTGCCGTTATAGAACCTCCAGCACCACACCCACCGTCATGTCGTAAAAAGGATCTGTATGATAATATAAGTATCTTTGATGATATTGATGAACAAGTGATAAGGGTAAGTTTAATATTAAAAAGAACTCCAGACATTTAGAATTGTGTGGGGTGTCACAGTTTCGTGTTATGGTTTGACATTGTCTCATAAGCAAGTATGGCTAAAACCGGTACTGACTAAATTCTCAACACTGAGTAATATATGATTCTTCCTTATTGCACAGTTAACTGAAAAGAATAATAATTACACTATGTTACCTTCATGAAAACCCACAGAGCTTTGATGCTTTGTTGGAGTTTTGAGAAGAATGAAAATGGAATAGAAATCGCAATTTCAAAGTACTGTTTCTTTTTACCTTGTTAGTTCCCACTAAATGAAACTAATTATAAAGGGATTGCAATTTGATATAATTATTATTGTAGGTTGCAGAAACAGAACAAGAAACTCATACAGAATTAACTCAACAACTTACAGAGAATCTAATAACAGATCTAGAAAAAGCTAGGTAAATAAATAGTTATCATTATTATTCTAGCAGTAATAATCATACATGTACCTCAAATTCTTTTCAATTTAGGTCAATGTTAAGGTAAAAACATGTCCTCCTCAGAGTAAACACAATGTTAAAACCATACATATACCAGTAGCTCTGTTCTTTGAATCTTATAATAGCAGGAAATGGGAGGAAAAGCACATGTAGCCTATATATACTGATTTACATTCACTTTTTAACATTTTTATTGTAATTTCTAATCAGTTATGTTCGGTGATATACATAACTGATTTTAAAATGTTCATTCTCTTAAACATACATTATGCAAGAGCTAAATCTGCCTATTGCAGGTCTTTCTTTGGACATTAACTTATCCAGACCATAATCAACTCTCGATGTCATTGCTAGCCTGCGATGTTTATTGTATTAGGTTCCGATCTGCTGTTCGACTTCCATTCATGATTAAATCAAGAAATGGATAATCAAGACTATGTTTTTATCGTACCGACTTTAGTAATGATGATCGAGATTAGGCCAAAAATTCAATCATTAAATTCTCAGTTCAGAGTGGATCAATTTGATTGAAATTTTCATCAAGTACCCTTTACATTATCTAGTTTTTAAATACATGTATTATAGTGAAAACTGCCAGCCCTTTATCTAGTCTCCCATAATGTATCTTTAAATATTGGATATCATGAGCTATATATGCTCTTTAATTTCAATGAAAATAACAACTAATTTAATCAACTTGTTATATTTCAGAGCTATTTATCGTTGGATTACTGTAAAAGATTTAAATGTAATGGAGTTTGATGAATCTCTAGTAACTGATACTCCTATGGGACTATTACGTGGTATTAAATATGGAACTGAGACATATCATGTTTTATTTATGAGACTCTGCAGGTAATCCTTCATATTATTTATTACTGGCTTCACTTTCTGCCTTGCTTTATTCTCTCGTCTACTTGGTAGAGACATGTCCAGGATGTCCAAATATAGGGAGGACATAACATTTGAAAGCTAAATACAAGATTAAGGGGGAAGTGATGTGTCAAGGGAGATAACTCTTTGCGCAAACATCATGTTCCTTTTGATTTTCGGCAAATTGTTCACTGCTTAAGGATTTTCTATTTTATAACTTATTAATTTATTATGAAAGATTTTTCACCTAAAATATTATTCTTATGGAAGTTTCAACACTGATGGTGTAATGTATATGCTGTAGCATCTGTTTTCAATACACCTTTGTTTGATTCCAGGCTTGTACATGACAAAAACAGGTATGCTTGGTTAACACGGTGGCTGTTCTCCCAGATTCTGGTTTCCTTCCACTGGACATTACACTCTCTCCCCTGCCTCCATTACTTGCACATTTTGTATCGCTACTAAAGTATTTTTTTTTTGTGCTTTGATTACAGTTATGCTGGTTTACACTGTGTTGAGATTAAAGGGCATTCTAAAAGTGTGGGCTATGAACCTGGTATGAAAATAACACCAGAGACATTTCAGAACACATGGAATTGTGTTTTAATTGATGGTGATTGGCGACTCATACAGTGTAACTGGGGAGCTAGGTGAGATATTTTCTACACTAATTTCTTTAAAGGCACAACAAATAAGATTGTTCAAACGATTATATTTCAAAAGTAAAAAAAAAAAATATGTGCTGTTTTTATGTAATTAAGCACATCCAAGTATAAAAAACCCTTGAAGAATGAAATAAACTGTACTAAAAAGATAAAAGAATAATTACTGATTTGTCTTAGACACACATAACGATGACAATGTGAAATCAATGTACATTTTAGGAGCAGAACAGTAGGACGTTAAACCCCATTTCATTTCATTTCAACCAAGTATTTAAAGTGCTTGATGTTTAGGGGGGTTGGATGGCCGAATGGTTAGCACGTGCGCACTGTATCATGAGGCCTGTCATTGAGTCAACTGGCTTGGTTTCGAATCCCCAGTTGAACGTGACAAGGATTAGGGTCGCCTGTCCAACCTCGTGGGTTTTCTCTGGGTCCTCCGGTTTCCTCCCACTGCTAAAGACCCCTACGCACAAGCGAATTATTGAAATAAAATTTAACCATGTGTTGGTCCCGAAATGACCTAGTTTGTGTCGAGTGGACGTTAAACCCCATTTCTCTCTCTCTCTCTCTCTCTCTCTTGTTTATTGATATTTCTCTGTTACAAGCCATTTATACTATGTCTTTCTGTTCTTCCAGACAGTATAAAGTTTTACATATTTCCTTGATGTTTAGTTTAGGGTTTTGTTAATCCCTAGGCAAACCACAATATTGTAAAAGTTGAATCTCTAAATGAAAAATTGATCCAAAATATGGTTTGATGACCAATTGAAAATTTGTTAACATTCGAGATCCAATGTAGACGCTGTGTTTAAGTTGGAGTAAAAATGACCACACTCTGTAAATAATAGTTGCTTGTATTTCTATGCTAACTGGCTTATGATTATTCTGTAATTTCAGACATTTGGTGATGAATAAAGATAAAGAGCGAGATAAGGTCAAGAGACGAGATCAGATACGATATCAATACGATGAACATTACTTCCTCACAGATCCAGATGAATTCATCCAAGAATTCTGGCCACATGATGCTAAATGGCAACTACTTGATTGTCCTCTTACCCTCGATGATTTTGAAGCTTTACCGTTTGTGCGATCTGTATTCTTCCATTACGGAATGCAGTTTGATCAACACAAGTCTGCTGTACTGGAAACCGGTGAAAAGGGAGGAATTAAGATATCTCTTAGAATTCCAGAACATTATGAAAATGATCTGGTGTTTTTCTACCAGTTACGTTTTGCTGATAAAGAACGTAGAAATGACTTAACATATCGTGGTGCTAATTTAGAAAGATTTGTTTTTCAAGCTATGGTGGATAATCAAGTAACGTTTAGTATTCATGTTCCTACTGTTGCTGAGTATTTCTTTGAAGTTTTCGCAAACAAAATCGATGAAACAAATCGCTGTATTGAAGATAATAATTCCAACCTGGCGCCATTCCGATTGAAATGTGCCTGTAAATTTAAAGTGACTTGTAGTAGTTTAGTAGGTAAAATGCATGCTTTACCTAATTGTGCTGCTGGAGAATGGGGACCAAAGAAAGCCTTCCGTCATTTTGGCCTCATACCCATTCTTCCCACAAGTCCAAATGGAGTTGAGAAACCAGAACATTTAGAGATAATCAAGGCAGGCATGCTGACAGTGGAAGATAAGTTTGTGATTCGATTCCAGATTCCAAGACCATTGCAATTTGTTGCCAAACTGCGAATGAATCAAGTAGAAGATTATGTTCTGGAACCTTTCATCCATCTTATAGCAGAAGGTCAAGTACTAACCGTGTCTGCTTCTTTACCTCAACCTGGTCAGTATGGTATAGATCTTTACGCCAGGCCAAAGGGAGCCACGGAAGGAAGTACTCTATCCCATGCTTGTAAATATTTGATTAACTGCATCAAGGTCTCATCACCTATGGATATACCAAAAATTAGCCCAAATTTATCCAACCGTAGCAAATGGGGACCAACAGCTCACTTTGAAGATCTTGGCATGAAATTGTTGTCTCATAAAGAGGCTAAGATGAGAATAACGGACACTACGAAAATTTGCATCGAGATATACGTACCCGAGCATGTTTATCTGTCATACCAGTTTAACCGTGAACCTGATGAGGATTATCGCGAGTATTGTACCATGAAACGGGAAGACGGCAACGTTAAATTAAATGTAAACTTTGTCAAATCTGGTAATTACATGTTGTCCTTATATGGGCGTCGTTCAGGAAGTGACGATAAATCCCTACCCAATATTTACAACTACCTAATACAATACACTCACCCGTCTGGAGATACAAATGGGACTGTTCCATCTAAATCATCGTCTATTTTCAAAAAATCAATATTCTCCAAGAAGATAAGTTCAGGAAGTTTTGATAAATATTCGGATAAGGGCTCAGATAAGGGTTCCGATAAATCCTAAATGATATGATGGGAGTACAGAGATCTGTGTTGATAACTTGTAAAAGCAGACGCATGTCCCTGGTTGGGTACAGGGCTTTACAGACTTCAATTAATTAAGATATTGGCCAGTTCGTTTTGTGAATCAAATACAAGATGGCTCCTTCAAAATGGAGGTCTGTTCATTTTATGCCAATATCAAATACATGTTTAAAAGTTAATATGTTCGTGTTATGTTAATTATTGGGGATATATTTTGTTTGTTATGATATTATGTATTGTAGATAAAAAGTTTTGTTTATAGAAAGAAATTGGTTGAAAGTACATAAGGCATACTTTCAAAAGAAGTTACAAACATTCCATGCAAAAAAAACCCACCCAATTTAGTTCAGCTTGGTGCATGTTCATTATGCCTGTCTGCATACTTATATTTATTAAATTAATTGCAAGTTAACTGTTGTCCTTTAAATTCAGTTATCTGATTTGTAATAATGATAATAATACTTTTTGAATAGTAGGCCTACCTTTTTACCCATGGAGCTAAGAGAAAAAAATCTTTTGGCCCTTAGATATGCAGGGACCCTTTCAAAAAAGTTGAGTTGTATTAAAATCAGTACTTGATTATTTAGTAAATTATTCAAATGGTTGATCAGTCTTCTGTTTTCAGTATAATAAGTCATTAATTACAAAAGATCGATTAAATTTTCATGTGAAGAAGTATACATGTATAATATTACTGTCATATCTCATAAATCTTTATCAAGTGATCTTGAGGATAAAAAAATATCACATGATTATTCAACCTACAAATAAATCTAATATGCAGTGGCGTGCAGAGGATTGCCGATACCTGAGGCCAACTCTGTGATTGCATGCCCCCAAGACTCAAGTATAGGGCCTAATGCTCAGAAATATGAGAAAATATGTAAAAACCAATGAAATAAACTATATATTCAGATTAAGTAGATCAGCGTATCTAACAAAGTTAACATTTAATTTGAAAAAAAAATTATTTCACACTTTGATTGGATTCCCCTTTGAATAGATGACTGGGCAGTCACCCCCTCTCTGTACACCACTGCCAACCTGTACTTCACTATCTGGCTGGGAATATTTCACAATGATTTTTTATGTATAGTCTGGACCCAGACCACTGCCTATATTAAAATTGTAGATCTGGGTGGCTATTTATGGAAGCAGTCCCTGAAACATCTTGCTGTAACTTAATGACAAAAAGCTAATTATCTAAGATTGTTAAGATTTGTAGTATAATTCTTAATAAGTGCAATTTTCTCTTAGTTTTTTTTCAAAATAATGAATTCATAAAAAAGAAGAAACTAATAATTACTGTAATAAGTACAGTTTAAAAAAATAATTTAATTTTTTTCCCCTTTTGTTATGCTTTTGTGTTTATAAAATTGGTGCAGAAATTTAGAAGTAATATTTAGGCTGAGTAAATTTTCTAAATAATTGAATTCAAAGGTTAAATTTGTATTTTATTGAATATTCTATGTTTGATTTTTTTTATACTAGTCAAATGATTCATGCAATAACTATGTATGCATACAGCAATATGATAAATAATTGGTGATTCTGAATGAATAATATTTAATTTGTATATATTATAGATATGAAATCAAATAACATTATGTACTGTGTTTGCCGATTATGCTGATTTAATTATTTAAATATTCAATTCATTATAATCAATTTTTGGAACATTTTTGGTTCATTTTAGCATTTTCAAAAGTTGTGCTTCTTAGAAATTGTTATATATTCCTGTCTGAATAGTTGAATTTATTGAATTGATATTACTATATAAATTGCCTATAGACTAAATATTGACCAGGTTCCATTAGTTTTTGACATCGAATAATAAAATACCAAAAAGAAAGTTGGAATAACCTTCAACAGCAATTTGAATATATGTGTTGAGAACTGAAATGTTTCATTTGAGTTTTGTTAATAATGTTGACTGTGAAACATTCAAATGAAAGTAGTATATTATGTGAATTATTAGCAATACTGATATATTAATACTTTTATTATATATTTAATAAATACTAAAACATATAATTAATAATCCAATAATATGTACAGTTTCACCTTATTACTTAATCAACTTTGTCTAGATATATACAATATGAATTTTCTATCTGCTATATATTGCTATTGCCTGGAAAACATATTATCATGGTTATAAATTATTTTAGAGCCTAGCCTTCTTTGATATGGAGATTTGTTATAAATTGAAATTTTCCACTGGTATTAGAGAATTTGATGATCTAGCCATCTTTAATTCAGAGATTTTTTTTTTTTATTAAATGAAATTCTTCATTCATATTCGAGAATTCCACTTTGTAAATAGCAGATGATCTGATTATAAAATATACACCTCTCTCTCTCTCTCTCTCTCTCTCTCTCTCTCTCTCTCATATATATTTATATAAGTAAAAATAACCAATTTGATGTGTTAAATATCTTATCACCAGTAATTTATATTTTTCTCATTATATAAGTTTTGCTATTTAAGAGATTAAAAATATTATATCTCGTCACGTTTTTGCCTTATTTTGTGTATTTTTGATGGGGATATATTCACAGAATTACTCATAACATCTGTCAACTGTCTGAAAGATTAGGAACCTGTCTGTCATTGAAGTAGCAGTATTGTTCTTTATTTGTAAATAATAACCACACCCAGTCTTTACTCGAATTTAAAACAGTGGCTAAGTGGGTAAGACGCTGGCTCACTAGCCTGGAGGTTGGGTGCTTGATTCCTTCATTGGCTGAGAAAGTTCATCCAAATTTTCCGGCGTGGTTTCCCCTTGTCAGTGATGCCTGACAAGGACAGCTGTCTAGTCGTTTGGATGGGACGGAAAACCGAGGTCCCATGTACACAAGGGCGTGCACGTAAAAGATCCCAATGCAGTTGGAATTTGATATAAGAGTAGGCCTTGGCGCCCCTGCCCGGGCAAAATTTCCCTCACAGCACACTGTATGGCGTATGCCCGTCTTCATTAGCCCAGTTTAGGAGCAGAACAGTAGGACGTTAAACCCCATTTCATTTCATTTAAAACATTCAATAGCACTACATCAGTGGTTCACAACCTTTTGTGTACCATGCTCAACATCGCAAATTATTTTGTGCCGTTTGTTATGAAAAAAAATTGAGTTTTCTAAAAAGAAAATTGATAACTCGCAGTTAATAATAATAGAGTTAAACTTCCTTGTGCAAACCTGTAGTCAAATTGTCGTAGAGGTGGCGCCAGATGCACGATAATATGTATGGAGGAGGGGAGACAGGCGTTTTCGGGAGTAATTTGTACCCAATCTGATTAAAATACAGATCTATATTTCGTTTCGTTTTTTTATACTTTCGATGGCTGCATGAAGATCTGACAAGTTATAGCGATAGGTCACGTCAGGGGTCAAAAGACCGACATATGACTCTATGATGTCAGACATTTGATTAACTATTACTCACAGTTCCGTGCAAAACACGCCTAAAGCTCGCCGTAACAGACCGTTTCATTGGCTTATCCCTGACACCATTCAGAACACGAGTTAAATAACAACCCTTCCAGATCCAAGGGTAGTAAAGACAAGTAAAACGAAATTTTGAACTATAAAAACGAAACGAAATAGGATCTGTGTTTTAACCAGATTGATTTGTACCAAAAGTTGTTTTGGTGTAAAAGTGATAATGGAACAGGTGAAACTTTTTCTTATTGACATCGTTTTCAAATTGCCCCACGTTTGGAACCACTGCACAATATTCTACAATTTTATTGAATCGGATAAACTCCTTACATTTGAAAACGCTTTTAAAATTCTGAAGGTGGTAAGTAGACAAAAATAATGTTTGTTTACAGTAAGTTCCGTCTTTGAGATAATAAAAGGCAAATTAATGATAAATTATACTGCTTTAGACTCAATGTCACTAACTTGTCATGATTAGAAATGATGTGTACCTATGACATGAATAAAAATTGTGGTGGGACGATAATTGAGATAGTAAAATGTTCATTGCACAGCTCGTGTAGTTAAAACAATAAAGAGCGTGTTTTCGGACTAAAACGGCTATGGTGCCTCTGTAATTTACTTTTTTGTACTTTAATTTCGAGATCACCAAAAGCTAACTGAAAAGGCGACAATTTAGGCATTTACCTATCTCAATGAGAGATGTTTTGGCAAATTTTCAATAGGCGCCATGCACCAACGAAGGGGTTAGTGACGAAACCATGGCATAAGGTGAAATAACTAAAATGGCGGAAGGAATTAAAACTGGGCATATTTTAACCTTGTCTAGCGTGAAGGATATCTTACACTACAATATAATATATTCCATAATGCTACAGATTATTTTATATGGACGGTCTAGCCACACCATCTTCAAGTGAAGATTCAATCAGAAACACCATCGAAGTTAATCTAAACAGCACTGCCAAGTTTGGAAGATATGAGACTGGATATTTGGAGTATTAATTCCAGACACGAACTCAAGATCACGAGTTCTCTGTTAACTTGCTTTTAAATACCCTCCCAGACTTACTAGCCGTGCGTACTTTCATTGTAGACTGATTTCAAATTTCACACAGATGAAGAAGAAGAAAGATTATTTAAAAAAAAATAGCTGGGGGAGGATAGTAATACACGGGGTTTTGATCAAGACTCATTTCAAATTTCACACAGATGAAGAGGAAGAAAGATTAGTTTAAAAAAATAGCTCGGGGAGGATAGTAATGCGTGTAGAAAATAGACGGGGTTTGATCATGACCGGATCTCTCACCTACAGACATGCACTAGGATTCTCAAGTTTTTATTAAGCAGTGATAAATATAAAATATGACGGGATTTTATAATTATCACATTTAAGACCAATACGACGAACAAGTAGAGACATGCCACTAATTGCCCTAAAGGGAACCTAAATTTGAGCCGTTTTCATTAGGCCAGTCGGAACAGAACGACAGCAATTTAAATTTTATTTCATTTCCTTTATTTGAGCACATATATATCATTAGCAGTGGCATCTCCTGAAACAGCAAGGAAAGTGTTTCCCAATTCGAGTACATATTGGCGTGTTAAAACTTCACCACGAACAACGTCACTGACTTGACTCAATGACAGACCTAATGATCTGCAGCGCACGTGTTAGATCATTCCGCCACACTTAACCCCGCCAGAGCAAAAAAAAAAACAAAACAAAAAAACAAACCCAAACTGTCTGAAATGCCCTAGGTATTGTAATATTTGCTGTAAGTAGCAGAATGCGCTGTAGCACAAAATGAAGTTTTAAAACCCACTTCACGCCTGTCCTTTGTGTATTAATATCATCTTGAAGACACACCAAGAGAAATCACATAATCATTGATTTCGATTTGAACATTGTCCCATTTATTCTAAAACTCTGAAAGGGGGAAAGGGTGAGTTATGCATTGTGTTTATTCGGTATCCCAATTGGGTAGGTTTCTAGTGCAAGAGTTTCGATAAAAAGAGGCATCAGTTATGTATCTGTTTCGTTCATATCGGTATTTTTGTGTAAGATCTCAAACCGATTTTAGAACAGTCGAGAATGTATATTTCTTGACGAAACAACCTAGTGTATATTATATTAGTATAAAACTTTGATTTCTTATTTATTCATATAGGCTTCCTTTTGATTTATTGTTATGTCGACTGAATCGTAAATTATATAAGCCAACCATTTTACATTTAAAAATATCCAGGCTTCGGTCTCTTTAAACTATTAGAGTAAGCCAGATCGAGTACCGACATTGATACTTGGTAAACCAGTATACATAATATTACATCAACACGTTTGATTCTTGCACAATCTGATTAAAATACGGATCTATATTATGTAGTAACAGGTGTCGTCAGAGGTCGTACGAACGGTTTTTGACCTTATGGCGTCAGGCATTGATTGATTAATCAATCAGCGTTGACGTTTCTAGTAGATTACCCACAGTTCCGTGCATCGGACGCCAAAAAGTCGCGGTAACAGATGGTTTCATAGGCTAATCCATCACGCCTTACAGAACGCGGGTTATATAACAACTCTTCAGGTTCCTAGTGTAGTACAGACAAATAAAACGAAATTTTGAACTATAGGATCTGTGTTTGAATCAGACTTTTTCTTACACTTTACGTTAATTCGCATATACCTTTGGTTTTATCACTTCACGATAGCCGGGCAAAGCGTGGAAATATGTATCGAAAACAATATACCCCAGAGCTTATCCAGCAGGACGGAGGGTCTGACAAGGACAGCTGTATAGTCGTTCGGATGGCGCGAAAAACCGAGGTCCCATGCACGTCAAAGATCCCTTGGTAGTTGGAATTCGATATAAGAGTAGGCGATAGTGCCGCTGCCCGGGCAAAATTTTCCTCATAGCACACTGTATGGCGTATGCCCGTCTTCATTATCCCAGTCGGAAAAGTAGTACGTTAAACCCCATTTCATTTCATTTCATTTCGCAGCTTTTCCAAAAGTAAAACTTAGATATTGACCAAATTTGATAAAGATAACTTTAAGAAATCCAACCTCTGTCGCATTCACAAGCTTTTCTGAACACATCATATATCTCAGGAACCAGGAATCCTAGAATACTGAAATACAGATTAGGATTCGTCCTCTCATGAAGCCCATGCTTGAAACCTAATTTAAAGAGCAACGGTATATAAATATTCCTTTGCTTTTACAAGATTTTGGGAAAGGGGCCTCGGTAACTCCAAAACAAAATCTCGTGGTACCGTTTGTCCTACTTCACATCAAATTTGATAAACTTCCATTTAAATTGTAGCCTTTGTCGCGTAAAGAAATCTTTTCAGAACAGTGGGTAACCCTGGAACGGATTTTGTTGTTGTTGGGGTGGGGGTGTTAGATACTTAACAACAGGTCGTGAACACTGAGTACCAAAAGGGTTCGCATCCCATTGATCGATATGGTTGGTACTGGTTAATAATTCGGCGTCTTGCTCACTGAGCCACAGTGGATCCCGCTTTACATAAAACTCTCATTAGAATTTATAATGAATTTCAACAGGTTTTTGTTCACCCCATATTGTGTCTTCAAGAAAGAAACCATACTGAACCTGAGGGAACCTCCAGGCCACTCAGTATTTGGATGTGCTGCTTTCGTCTCTTCATATTGCTAACGGCAGCACTGGAAATAGCGCAGTACTATTGCCCACCTTATGTTGACTTGAAATACACGACCTTCGTATATAGTCTTTATAATCAGATAAACGAATTGGCTTACAAAGCTGACATCGTGTTCAAACCCGATATGGCGCCATGAATAATCACTGTAATCTTTTAATTTCTTAAAATTTGACCTACATTGTTGAGGCTTTAGGCGTCATAGTTTTATCAGTGTTCAATTTGGCCTTGTCAATAAATGATCTTGTCCCATTAATCGTAGAGACCGGAACTGTTTTCTGTTATCGCTTTAAATTTCTTTCTGATAATATCTATTATATTTTAATTCCATAGGGATACGATTGAACGCAAATATCGATCTAAGTTATGCTTTAATTTTTTTAATAAAAAG